CAACCTGGTAAAGGTTTGGGACTATGTTCGCAAGGAATCATAGATCTCATTACTCTTTTAGGAAACTAAGGCACTTTTGGCCTTGGATACAAACAAAGCAAGAGAAATGGAGATAAGGCTAAGAACCACAAAATGACTGATTGGGCGTTGCCACAACCGATTCCCCATATCTCTCATTCTTTTATTATGCCTCAGGGACCAGAAATGGAAGCTTCTTTTACTCATGAAGACATTGAAGAAGTTATTCAGGATCTCAGTCAGTTGTTTTGTGAAGTAAACATGGTCCAAGTTGGTGAAAGTACAAGTCATGCCGATGTGCAGCTCGTGGGCTCAGGTGTTGAGTTAAACAATTGGGAAGCCACTCATTTCCCCATAAGGAATGAGTCTTGGTAGTTTGTTTTGCTACTCTTTTGTATTTTGTTGTTGTCAGGGTTGTGATTCGAATATTTGAAAGTCTTTTGTTTTAATGTCAACCCTTCTATCCTTTTTTAATTTCAATGAAATGAAATTCCAGTTTCATAGTAAAATTTTGTCTTTTCCCTCCCCTGATTCTTATTCTCTATTTTTCAGTTCTGTAAATGTCGGCTTTGATAACATGACATGCATGCGGAATTCACTCCTAGATCTCAAATAGTTGTTTATTCTTGAATCCCCGAGTCGAGAGGTTGAATATGATGAAGAAGAGGCTTTTAGGGAAATTAATAGGGAATTGGAACAGTTTGAGCACAAACCTAAGCCTAATCTTAGTGAAACTGAGGCCATCAATTTGGGAAGTAATAAGGAAGTCAAAGAAATAAAAATAACTCTTCATGTCAAGAAGGAAATTAGGGATGCCATAATGCAACTTTTTTTTTAATACAAAGATGTGTTTGCTTGGTCCTATGATGACATGCCAGGTTTGAGTGTTGATTTAGTGGTCCATAAGTTGCCCACTCATCCTGATTTTCCACCCGTCCAACAAAAAAGAAGAAAATTCAAACCGGACGTGAGTGAAAAAATCAAGGAAGAAATCATGAAACAACTAAATGCAAATGTGATCCAAACCATTCGTTACACTACTTGGTTGGCAAATATTGTTCATGTGCCGAAAAAGGATGGAAAGACAAGAGTTTGTGTTGACTATCGAGATTTGAACAAAGCTAGTCCAAAAGACAACTTTCCCTTGCCAGATGTGTTTGCTTGGTCCTCTGATGACATACCAAGTTTAAGTGTTGATTTAGTGGTCCATAAGTTGCCCACTCATCCTGATTTTCCACCCGTCCAACAAAAAGAAGAAAATTCAAACCGAACGTGAGTGAAAAAATCAAGGAAGAAATCATGAAACAACTAAATGCAAATGTGATCCAAACCATTCGTTACACTACTTGGTTGGCAAATGTTGTTCCTGTGCCGAAAAATGATGGAAAGACAAGAGTTTGTGTTGACTATCGAGATTTGAACAAAGCTAGTCCAAAAGACATTTTTCCCTTGCCTAATATCCACATTCTAGTTGATAATTGTGCCAGACACGAAATTCAATCTTTTGTGGACTGCTATGCGGGGTATCATCAAATCTTGATGGACGAAGAAGACGCTGAGAAAACTTCTTTCACCACTCCATGGGGGACTTATTGTTATAGGGTCATACCATTCGGTCTTTAAAATACTGGGGAAACTTACGTCGATAAAGAAATCGAAGTATACGTCATAAACTTATTGTTATAGGGTCATAAAGAAATCGAAGTATACGTCGATGACGTAATCATCAAGTCTAAAACACAAGCTGACCATGTGCAAGATCTGAGAAAATTCTTCGAAAGAGTGCGAAGATATGATCTCAAGCTTAATCCAGCAAAATGTGCATTTGGAGTTCCATCTGGAAAACTTCTGGGTTTTATTGTCAGTAGAAGGGGAATCAAATTGGATCCTTCCAAAATAAAAGCCATTCGAGATTTGCCACCCCCGAAAAATAAGACCGAAGTCATGAGTCTACTTGGGAGGTTGAACTACATTAGCAGGTTTATTGCTTAACTCACAACCACTTGTGAGCCGATTTTCAGACTTTTGAAAAAGGATGCTGCTGTCAGATGGACGGGGGATTGTCAACAAGCTTTTGAAAAAATCAAGGAATATTTGTCCAAACCTCCCGTATTGGTCCCGCCTGAACTTGATAGGCCTCTCTTTCTATATCTTTCAGTGACAGATAATTCCTTTGGGTGCGTTCTCGGTCAACACGATTCCACAGGCAGGAAGGAGCAAGCTATCTACTACTTGAGCAAGAAATTCAGTAGTTATGAGGTCAGGTACACCCTCTTGGAAAGGACATGTTGCGCCATAACTTGGGTAGCTCAAAAGTTAAGGCATTACCTTTTGTCCTACACAACTTACCTCATATCTAGGATGGATCCTTTGAAGTACATCTTTCAGAAGCCAATGTCAACTGGCAGACTCGCGAAATGGAAAATCTTGCTCACTGAATTTGACATTATATATGTCACTCGAACTGCAATGAAAGCTCAAGCTCTGGCAGACCACTTGGCAGAGAATCCAGTCGATGTCGACTACGAACCACTGGATACATATTTTCCAGATGAAGAGATTAACTCAATTGAAGAAGTAGATACAGATGAAAATCAGGCCTGGCAATTATACTTTGATGGAGCAATCAACAAAAAAGGCACAGGGATTGGGGCAATTCTCATATCACCCACAGGACAGCATTACCCTGCAATAGCTCGACTTCGTTTCTTCTGTACAAATAACACAACAGAGTATGAAGCTTGCATCATGGGTCTAAATATGGTAATAGATTTGGGTGTGCAAGAATTGATTGTGCTGGGAGATTCTGATTTGCTTATTAGGCAAGCTCAAGGCGAATGGAAAACTCGAGACCTCAAGCTTCTTCCCTACAAACAATGTGTGGAAGATCTTAGCAAAAGGTTTAGGTCCATCGAGTTTAGATACATCCCCAGATTTCATAATGAATTGGCAGAGGCCTTGGCTACTTTGGCCTCAATGCTTCCATATCCTGGAAACACTTGTATTACTCTCTTGGAGATTCAAATTCGGGACCAACATGGCTATTATAACACTGTGGAAGCAGAATCAGATGGTGAGCCGTGGTACCTAGACATCAGGAATTTCTTGCAAACAGGGAAATGTCCCGAACATGCCAATGGAAGCCAAAAAAGAACTATTAGACGTCTGGCTAGTGGTTTCTTTTTTAGCGGGGAAATTTTATATAAACGCACCCCGGATCTGAACTTATTGAGATGTGTGGATGTTGAAGAAGCCGAGAAGATCATGAATGAAGTACATGCTGGGGTATGTGGACCACACGTGAATGGATATGTCCGTGCGAAAAAGATACTCCGAGCAGGATATTACTGGCTTACCATGGAACGGGATTGCTTTCGCTTTGTGAAAAAATGTCATCAATGTCAAATTCATGGTGATCTTATTCATTCACCTACTTCAGAGTTGCATCCCATGGCCGCTCCTTGGCCCTTTGTTTCATGGGGAATGGATGTCATCGGACCAATTGAGCCAAAAGCTTCTAATGGACATCGATTCATTTTGGTCGCAATTGATTACTTTACTAAATGGGTAGAGGAAATCACTTTCAAGGAAGTCACTAAGAAGGCGGACATGGATTTTGTCCATTCAAACATCATTTGTCGTTTTGGTATCCCAAGAACTATCATCACAGATAATGCTGCAAACCTTAATAGCAATTTGATGAAGGAGGTATGTGAGCAGTTCAAAATTGTGCATCACAATTCTACTCCATACCGACTAGAGGCCAACGGAGCTGTGGAGGCAGCCAACAAGAATATCAAAAAGATTCTCAGGAAAATGGTTCAGGGCACTAGACAATGGCATGAGAAGCTGCCTTTTGCACTTTTAGGATATCGCACAACAGTGCGCACCTCGATTGGTGCAACTCCTTATTTTGCTGGTGTATGGGACTGAGGTTGTGATACCAGCGGAAGTTGAAATTTCATCTCTTCGAATTATTGTCGAGGCTAAAATTGAAGATACTGAATGGGTCAAAACCCGACTAGAGCAGCTCACATTAATAGATGAGAAGTGATTGACGGCCGTCTGTTTTGGTCAGCTTTATCAGCAAAGGATGGCTCGTGCATACAACAAAAAGGTGCACCCAAGACACTTTGAAGTAGGTCAACTGGTCTTAAAGCGCATTCTCCCGCACCAAGAAGAGGCCAAGGGAAAGTTTGCCCCAAATTGGCAAGGTCCATATATTATCAAGGAAGTGTTGTCCAAAGGAGTCTTACACCTTACTGATGTGGAGGAAAACATCACAGGCATAATTGTTAACGCGGACGCAGTCAAAACATACTACCTCTAATACGTTCTAAGATACTGTGACAAGTTTATGGCTGAGAGAACAAAGGCATCTCTTTCAAAAAGAAAAAACCAAAAAAAATTATCCAAAAAACCTCTCTTTGAAAATTTGAACTACGTTTGACCTGATTCCGAAAGGATACGTAGGCAACCCTTTGGGGTTCGGTCATACCAAAAAAATAATAATCAATATTCCAGTATCTATAGAAAACTGGGGCTTTTCTTTTTCTTTTTTGATAGAATAGAGTCAAATTGATTTCGTTTTTTATTTTATTCTAGCAACCAACATTTTGATCAATTCTGAGAACAATAGATTCGATGTGTCTTGCACGGACAATTGATCATCAAAGACAACTTCGTCGAGTAAAAAAAAAAAAAAGTCTTATCGGTGAAAACCTTTATAGGCACCACAAGACGACAATAGAGAAAATCTTATCGGTGAAAACCCTTGCGGGCCACCTTAAGATAAAAGAAGAGAACATCATGAAAATGACTAGTTGGGTGAATTCTGCAAAGATCACCATTTCTCGATACCTCTACATGAAGTATACATAGATCAGTTATAAATGGTTAATGGTTCAGATTTTGAGAATTAGACAACTCAAGCGGATTCGGGGTCAAGTCCAAAGTGCATGTCATGGTTCACTTAAAGTCGACATATGCCTCCAGATAAGTTCTCTTTCTCATTTTCTTCAAAAGGGAATGCCCTTCCTTAAGTTTATAGTATTTTTTTATCCAATCTTTCACACTATTAAGTTTGATATTTTTCTAGTATTTTCGGTATAATCTCCTGACAAAATAAGGTACAAGATTGCAAAGCCTACTACGGGTTCCCAGAAGTAAAGCTGAGTATCCGAGTTGACATGCCATCGAGCAAGGACTAAAAACGCCTCAAATCTTCACTGAAAACACGTGAAGGAACACGATATAGTCTCTTAAGTCATGAAAAATATTCAACAGAAAAATTCATCCTTTTGGAACATTAGTCGCATCATGATATTTGGTAGTACCAAAAAGATCAAGGCCCCTGAATTGACAAAGAGGAAGCTTCAAAGGTTGTTCAACCAAGAATTTGGAGTGGAGTTGGAGAAATTAGTCAGGAGTATGGTCAAGTCATCGGAGCATCAAGGCCACAAACCAACCACCGTTTTAAACTAACAATTTTCTCTTTCTTTTGCTCAGCACAGGAACAAAAGAAAATATGGAATTACAAGTCAAAATGAAACATCACAAAAAAGGAAGTTCTCCAAAGTCTTCACATGTTTGTTGTTTCATCTCATGCTATTCTCATTCTTGCCTCTCAATTCGAGAGCTTCGGGATATACGCACCACTCTAAATTTCGTGAAATATGCACACGTCCCTTATTTATGTGCAATAAGCACCATCCATTATTCATGTGCAATACGTACCAGTCTGAATTTAGTGCAATACGCACCAATCTGACTTCCGTGCAAATACGCACTCGTCCTTTGTTCACGTGCGAAACGTACCAGTCTTTCTTTCATAAGCAAGACGTACCAATCCAAATCACATGCAATACACATAGATATTACATTCATGTGCAAAACACACTAGTCTTCTTCCATGTGCAATACGCACCAGTCCTTATTCACATGCAATACACATCAATTCTCTATTCATGGGCAATACACACCATATGCATATCCTGGGCAATACGCACTAGCATTCATGGGTTATACACGTCATATTCACGTTTTGGGGATACACCCAATCTTAGGACAATCTATAAAGACACTATGTCTTATTGGAAACTCTCAGGGCAACACACCCCACTTCTCCTTTTCTTTCTAGGGTTATACGTCCTAGTAGTTCAAGATTCTTTTTTCTTCTTCTTCCCTAAAAGAAACACATCCTTTTTGGGTTCTTCATTTTGTGATCTTTAGTTTTGAGTTTCAACCGCCAACTCAAGTTAAAACATGCACCTGAGA